ACTGCAGAAAAGTCCCTTGCAGTGAAGGAACCCACAGCAAATTTTGCTCCCTGCGTCTCCTCCTGAAAGATTGCTCAGGTTCTGGATCAAACGGAAACAATTGCTGAACTGCTAAACGTGTGCTGACCATGCACAGATTGTAATCTGCACTGCCTTGCTGTGATCTGCAAAAATAAATAAAAACGAAAATTATTATTATTATTATTATTATTATTATTTTTTGGGTATGTATGTATAGTAATAATTAATGTAGAATCTGATTAGAACGAATTATTTTAAATAATCCCCGGCAACGGCGCCAATTTCTTGATAGGCTTTTTAGTACCTGCACAAACAGGGTTAAAACTCCTACAAAACTTGCAAGAATGACAAGGTTATTGTATCTCAGGTTCTGGATCAAACGGAAACAATTGCTGAACTGCTAAACGTGTGCTGACCATGCACAGATTGTAATCTGCACTGCCTTGCTGTGATCTGCAAAAATAAATAAAAACGAAAATTATTATTATTATTATTATTATTATTATTTTTTGGGTATGTATGTATAGTAATAATTAATGTAGAATCTGATTAGAACGAATTATTTTAAATAATCCCCGGCAACGGCGCCAATTTCTTGATAGGCTTTTTAGTACCTGCACAAACAGGGTTAAAACTCCTACAAAACTTGCAAGAATGACAAGGTTATTGTAGTATAAATGATTCTCGCAAGGTCGTTATCCGCAGGGATTATTAAATAACTCGTAGCAACCAAATTCTAATTAATTATTGCAAAAGAGAAAGTTGAGATGTTTGATTTGAAGACCTTAAAGTCGAAGGTTAAGTATTCCTAATATATGCCTACTTGGACCCCCAACATAGAGCGTATATCACACATGCAATCCGTCTGTGGTATTCAGATCAAATCTAAACATACATGACTCATTAAGTTCTATGAAACCTTTTGAAAAACCATGCAACCCTTAAGACATGGTATTCATCCTAAGTGAACTTGCACATATTAATCACAAGAAGCCTTCGTCAATTTCAGGGACCGACCTCCGACCAAAACTGCATCAAATTACTTTTCTAAACATCCTAATGGTGATCAAGCATCAAGACACTTAGATAGTTTAACCCAGTGATGAATAATTCGAAAACCTGCATGCATATAATCATAAGCAAATTGGACAGAAACTACATATTCTTGCTAAGGCTCGTGGCCTCACCCTAGCAAAAGAGAGTTAGTTACGCATGTTCACAATTGAAATCCAAGAAAATATCATTAAGAAGAATAAGAATGAAAACACCTGAAAGTCGCGAAAATCCAAAACCCTAGCAATTGCTCCAAAAGCCAAAAAGAAATAAAAAGGGAGTCCCCTAAATTGCTGTGAAAAGGAGCTTAAATACCTCCTAAAACCTAGCTGCCCAATCCCCACAAGGAAACTAGGTTAAAATAAGATAATACTATGATATAAAATCCAAATTGGATTAGGAGAATCTGCCCAAATCTGCTCAGCCACGTTTTGGTCTCAAATCTCCTCCAAATCTAGCCCAAGATAGCTCGTTTTAAAGATAAAAACGTTCTGAACACTTCTCCAGAAGGTTCGTCTGAGGTCATCTTGGGCTCCAAAACACAATAAAAGCCCAAAAACGTCACTGTTCCAGCACGGTGCACTGTTCCTTTATTTATTTGCCAGGAAATCATCGCTTGGTGGAAAAGTCTGAAATTCTGACACGATCAAGCTAAGTGACTCACAAACGTCCTCCAACTGGAATTACTTCAAAATTCATCCATTTGATTATGTTTTGCTCCAGAGGGAGTCGAAAGTCCTATATTGGAAATATAATTCAAAGTATTAAAATTCTTCCAAAATAATAACCAAAATATATTAAGAATGGGGTTAAATATATAATATAAAATATGTGCATCAAAGAGCTGAAAAGGTCGAGGGCCGAGGAGGTAGCTGTTGCCTGAGCCGAAGCGATCGAGTCATTTCGGAGTTCAGAGGAGTTAAGGAGCTACATCATGGATCAGATGGTGGCGATGTAGCTGCGTTGGGAGGAGAGGGTGTCGAGGTTCAACCCTTCAGTGGAGATTAACTTTGATACGAGTGGCGAGCCCCCTTCATTTAGTCCCACCACCGATGTCGCTCGAGAGCCAGAGCCAGAGCCAGAGCCAGCCACTACGGATGCCCTTTCCACCGAGTCTTGAAGGCGTTGCCTTCTTTATGTACTGCAGTTGTTTATGTAAAACACTTGATGTTTATTTATGTTATGTATGAACATGTTGCCTTGCCTGGGGCAATGTTATTTTGATTTGCTATGATATTAGACTTGTTGTCATTTGATATCAATTGTGCTAGCAAAATGATAATCATGTGATTGATGAGAAGTAGCCAGAGTCAGGCGTTTTATTAAGTAGGTGCCGAAGGGCAGAAGGTACAGAGTCATGGCTCAAAAGCAAAGTATAAGAAAACATAATGTCCTAGGGTCTAGGTATGTTTATTTATAGAAGTATTTGAGATGAGCAGCGTTCCAAGGATGTGGCAAGGTCTTGCCCTTGGGATCGCGAAGCTGATATGTGCCGGGTTGGCAGACTTTGGTAACCTCATAAGGACTTTCCCATGTAGGGCATAAGGTACCTTTAGTGGGATTCTTGGTGGCCAAGGAAACCTTGCGCATGACCCATTCCCCAAGTTTGAAAGCACGGGGCTTGGCTAGAGAGTCGTAGTACCTAGCGATGCGCTGTTTGTACGAGACATTGCGCATGTTGGATTGGTCACGAAACTCGTCAATGAAGTCGAGGTTCAGGGCTAGCTGCTCGTCATTGGCTTCGGCCTCATAAGTGGAGGTTCAATATATGGGCTGGCCAATCTCCACTGGTGCCACGGCTTCAGTACCAAAGGAAAGGGAGAATGGTGTTTCTCTTGTTGAGGTACAGAAGGTGGTGCGGTAGGACCAGAGAACCTCTGGGAGTAGCTCTGGCCAGCAACCCTTAGCTTTGTCAAGTTTGGTTTTTAGAGTTTTCTTGATGATCTTGTTCACTGCTTCCACCTAGCCATTAGACTGAGGATGGGCTTGGGAGGCGAAGCAAAGACGTATCTTGAGGTTGGAACAAAATTGTTTGAATTTGGCATTGTCAAATTGCAGGCCATTGTCTGTGACAATGGTGTTGGGGATGCTGAAGCGAGATACGATATTTTGCCAAACAAAGGTTTCAATGTGGGCTGCAATGATGGTGGCCAAGGCTTCAGCCTCAGCCCACTTGGTGAAGTAGTCCACAGCTACAACTGCATACTTCACTTGGCCCTTGCCCTCAGGCATAGGTCTAATGAGGTCAAGTCCCTATTGGGCGAATGGCCAAGGACTGACCATGGTTGTCAATGGCTCAGCTGAAATTTGTGGGATGTTGGCAAATCGCTGACACTTATTTCACGTCTGGGTGAAGGTCTGGGCATCAGTGTGAAGTGATGGCCAAAAGTATCCATGCCGAATGACCTTGTGTGCTAGGGAGCGAGCGCCTGAGTGGTTGCCATAGATGCCCTCATGAATCTCCCTTAGGACATAGGTACCTTCTTCTAGGGTCAGGCACTAAAGGTAGGGGATGCTCAAGCCGAGCTTGTATAAGGTGCCATTGATGATCAAGTATCGAGCGGAACGATAGCGAACACGCCGCACTTCGGCAGGGTCAGCAGGTAGTGTCTAGTTCTACAAGAACTGGGTGATAGGGTCCATCCATGTTTGTGATCGATGACACAGATGAGTGGTGCTCGTGTGCTGGGCTGGTCCAAGAACTCGATGTGGATGTTGCGACCTATGCCCTGCTCCATCGCCGAGGCTAGCCTTGCTAATGCATCAGCATCGCTGTTCTCAGAGCGTGGCACCTGGCTTATGAGATGAGCATTGAAAGTTGTAAGCAGATAGCAGGTATGTTGGAGGTAGGCTATCATGGAGACGTCCTTGGCCGTGAAGT